TCCATCCATCCATCCATACCCAGGAATGTGCCTAAAACCTTTACTAGGAATTCCCAAAGCTTGCAATGTTGCATTCCACTTTCAAAAACATTGTGACAGATGATTTCATTGCACTTCATCTAAAGAGAAGTTTGACTTACAAGTGGGAAGAAGCATTAACTACATAGCACATGTACATGGACATGTAAATAGTATAACAATACATGTACATGTTGTAAAAGTTTAAAACTAAATACAGAATACTAGTAAATATTTGAAAATTTGTTCCAATTTGACAGCTTTGAAATTAAGGATTGATGTGGAAACCATGACACCTACAGAACACAACACACAGGATTTTTCAACAGTAGAATTGGGAGGGTCTCAAAATGGTGGGCACCAGGAGGCATCTGTGGCACCTGTGTCATCAGGCCCTACCCAGCCTTCATGTACAGGTGCTGAAGCTCCCCAAGCACCAATAAGTCCCATTCCTACAGAAGAAGAGGTCTTACGTTTACTTGCTTCAAACTACATGCAGACTACACCTCCAAGTTGCAAGGCTGATCGTGATGAGTTTTTGACGTACCTGAAAGAAATGCGAGTTGTTATCACAGGTGTTAAGTTAGGAAGTTTGCTGATAACCATGAAGTGTGATTCACTTGAGATCCTGGAGATATTGTGGGAAGATTATTCATCTGGTCATCTTGGTGAAGTTGTTCAAAGATGTTTTGTTACAGAAGAGATCTTGAAAAAACTGAGCCTTGCAGAGTTGAATCTACAAACAACAATCTCAGAGGAGGAGTATATGGCATGCAAGATGTACTTTGAGAAAGATCCAGCAGAAGGTAAATAGTTTTAAAAATGTTTTAGTTAAATTACTCAGGAATGCACAATGTCAGGAGAAGACTCAGGCTCCTCCGACCATTAAGATAAAAAAAAAAATCGGTTAAGAGGGAAAAACAAACTTCATATTCTACATGTGCCTAGTTTCTTGGTTCAAATAAAGCAACAATAATAGGCATTATATCTCAAAATACCACATGTTACATGGACATGTACATGTAGCATAACAAATGCAGAACTTTGTTAAATAAGCAAATCTTTGCTGACGTCATTGCTTACATTTTTTTCTCATTAACATATGACTTTGCATCACACTAGACATGAATTGACTACAAGCATTTAAAGAGCTTGTGAAACTCAGTAATTGGTGAAAGTTTTGGCTCTTTGGATGTAATATTCAAGGAGAAATTGGCTTTCAAAAACTGTTAAATTTCTGGGTGGCAATAGCACTAATGAGCTCATACATTTGTAAAATTTTGAGTTTTTAAACCTGTGCCGCACAAAAGGTATTCAATGCATCAGTCTCCAATTCCTTGGCACAGGTAATCATGCTATGCTCTTTCAATATTCAGAACCAATGGTTTTGTAGCTCCATCAGAAACTGAATCGCTTTTGCTAATGACGCAAATATTGTAAACAAAGATTCTTCTGTAAGTCAGAGTACATGTGTATTCATGTACATTGATTACTTCATAGAGAACTAAACAGTCTGTCTTTATTTTTAAAGATCCATGTGAAAGTGTAGCTGAACCTGTTGAAGATGATGATGATGTTGATGATGATGATGATGATGATGATGATGATAATGATGATGATCTGACCAAAACAGGTGAAACAGATGATAAAGATGACTCAGTATCAGATAATGAAGGTATGTGCATGTATATGTGTAAAAACCAGTTAAAAAAAGTTTTTTTTTTTCCCACAAGTTCCAGGGCTGTGCTCTAGAAGTGCCCAAATGCCACAGGTGACTAACTTTTGCCCTTGGGGGAATGGAAAAAGTTACTTTTAAATTCATATTAGCTTAAGAACTGGGCACCCAGGATTTCATGGCTAGGAACCTTTGGGCTCCTCATAGTTTTTCTCAGACCACAGCCTTGAGTTGTCATAATAGATAATTAGCTGCTCATACTCCAGTGGGGTGGGGGGTACTCCCTACAAAGGCCTACTGTATAGGGGGAGGCTCTGCCCAAAAGGGGTAATTGTTTTTCAGGCTTCAGGTATATCAAGGGGTAGGGAATTCACAAGTTGAGATATATGAGAGGGTGGGGAAATCTGTCATTTTGTAGAGTACTCCCCTCCCCCGGGCTCATACTTGAGATTCCTTTGTTATGCAGTACTGAATGCAAGTAGAGACCTACCCTGTACAGTACAAGATAGATGTTATCTAAAAGGAAATGAATAAAAGAACACCACTTTAGCGAGTGTCAAAAATTCTGCTCAACTGCAAAAAAACACATTCCTTAAGCTACATGTAATAAGCAATCTTAGAAATAAAATGTGTTTCTTAACCCATTTCCGCCTAAAAATTAATGTATCATGTGCTCTTGTACAATTTTTTTCTCAAACAATGGGTGCTGATATTATTGCTTCATATTATAGTATTTATAGTACAATGTATTTGTGATGAACCAGTGCAAATGAATCTAAGATTAGTTTAAGATGCAAGTGCCCTGTAAATTAACCCCTTTTATCAAATTCTTTAATGTTCCAAATAACTTGCAAGTCTCTGAATCCACCAATAACAAGCAGCAGGGCGCAAAATAATGGCCGGTGAACGGACAATGTCCGGCCAGAATGGTGACTTGACCGGCCAAAAACTTCACTCGCCAGTCATGTTGACCGGTCACGTCATGTTGACGCGGTCACGTTATTTATTCTTGAATAGACATTCAATTCGACAACTGTAAATCTTAAATTTTACCTCTTTGTAAAAATACAATTTTGACCTCTCACGCCAAAAAGCACACCAATGGGTATTTGTTCACACGGCTAAAAATTGTTCGCTTGCCATTTGTCATGCGTTCAAGATCGCCAGGCATAGTCAATCGATAAAAATCGACATCGGAAATCAATCGATATCAATCGCTTATTGCTATCGATTGATATCAGCAATCGATAACAATCGATAACTCACAGAAAAATCTCTTTATCGATTGGCAAAAATTGATAAACAATCGATAATTCCTGTCTTCTATTCAAAGATGGCTTTGTTTATGTAAAATAATACCTGGAACAACACAAGACGTTCATCTTCAGCGTGCTACTAGATTATATTTTCCTTTTGGCCTTCTCCGAGATCTATTCTTAGGTTTGCTTCCTAATGCAAATAATTGAATCGCTAGAACACTGACCCTGTTGTTTATTTTTTAACTCGTTACTTAGTACATGACCAGAAGTGGTAAAATCTACCGATTTTTTATTGCTCATTAGTTCTTCATGAATGAAAAGTCTCTCTAAATATGACTACAACAGAGTTTAGATTTTTTATGGTTCTTTGTATCATTAAGAAACTTCACAACACTTGTTGTGTAACTGTAGCCGTATTCGTAGTAATGTGACGATTTGCTGTGCGTTAGCACGGGTGAGAATCAAGGTAACAGAAACTTCTTCTTTGGCTCTGTTTGTTTACCCAGTTATTCCTGAAGCCCTAAATTAGGATCTGTTGATGCATGTTTGGTTTCATTTACGTTTTGATGGACGTAAGTTTTGAAGAACATGTTACTTAACTTTAAGTACATGCAATAGTTTCTTGTCTTCGACAAGCAAAATTTTGCAGTTGTCCTCTGTTACTATCCATTTTGTCTAGAGAAACAGCTTTGCCTATTTCTCTGGTCATACTCGTGTAACCCCTAACCTTTAAATAAAGGGTGTTTTCTGCAGGGAAAATTTTTGTTAAGTCGGTTCAACTTCAATGTCCGTTGCAAGCAAACATTGTTCAATGGAAGTTTTGTGCATGAGAATATTTCAAAAACGAGCAAAATTTAATGAGTTTCTGAAGTTTGTTTGTATTTTCTTCTTACAATTGTAGTTGTACTGTAAATTAGCTATGTTTTTATATAAGAAGGCGACATAAATTTCCATGTGTTTTCATTCTGATAACTATTGGTTTATCGCTTAGATTTCAGTAGAATCAAGACCAAAGGCGAAGAAAGAGGCTTGGATTCAGCAAAGTTTTCCATTGAACAAGTGCCTGCCTGTAAGAGCATTGTTGTCAGTGGTATTTCGGATACTACCACGCCTGATGCCATTGAACTGTACTTTGAAAGTCGAAGAAGAGGTGGGGGACCTGTGGAGAGAGTACAATTTGTTCCAAAGAGTGGTGTGGCTGTGGTTGTGTTTGAAGATCCAAAAGGTTTGTAACGCAATTATCACTAACAGCTATGATTAGCGATTTTTTGTTGATGGGTCTTCCACTAAAAAAATGTTTTTTGTTGTTGTTGTACCGTGTGAATGGACTCCACAACCTGACTTTAAATTTAGGCCTTTTCAGGTCACGCACATGCCACACTAGTTAATGAATAACAACCTCCTAACTTTTAAAAAGGGCGTTCATGAAAGGAATAATAATCTTACTTATGTATGGCTTGAGAAACATGGAATTTCATAACTTATGTCCCTAAAACGGGATTTAACCTACTAGTGCCCAGTCTACATCTTGGAATATTTTTCAAAAGAGTTAGAAGTTGGGTTGTTGTAATCCATCAAAACTGAAGTAAGCCACCTTAACCCGATCGAGAATTATTTTAGTCTAGATTAACCAGCGATCAACCAGAGAGCTGCCTGACAAATGCTATAAACTTATTTAGATGTAGCTTTTACCGAAGAGAATCCGAATTAACTAAAGAAGGCGGAATTAGTTGGGGGAACTTTAATTCTGTAGATCTTTTTTTTGATAGCCGAAGTCGCAACGAACGGCAGAGAAGTAAAGCGCTGTTCCCAAAAGTACTTCATCGATCGACGACTGCATTCAACACGGTAAAACGACCGAGGCAAATTTGCTGGGATGCCCTTTCTTTGTAGAGAAGAAACTTGAATTGGTCATTCATTAAATCAACTAAAAGTGCAACAATTACACAAACTGCGGGAACGGCTCTGTTCTTCTTCCTGGAGGTCCAAACGTAATTTCCCAAACGATCCGCATCACACAGTAGTCGGATAAATAGCCATCCACTGCTTTTACCTGTCCTCCTTAGCTTTCAAAGACTTGAATTTAAGTTGGATAGACCATATTCAATTCCTTCCACAAAATTCATATCCTTAAGTACACTGTATATGCGAGAACAAAAACTAAATGAATAAGAATTTTACAGCACTTGAACTCGGCAGATATTTGCTCTGCGAGTTGTGTTGTTGATCGTGCACGACGTCATGACGTATAGTCAGTTCTTGTTTGTTCATTGGTTAATGTGTATTTATTTTTTTCTCAAACATCTGAGCAGGCCGGAATCCTAGGTCCTCGAATTTGACTGGCTAATTGTGCACTCGTGACCGGTCCAGCTTTTTACCATACGGCCCACGGGCCGGATTTTTTCCCCGCTGTAGTGATTACGGCTCCTAAATTTCGCTCCTAAAAGTTGGCGGTAATCATCAATCTTTTGCTTTTTTTACACTACCATCGACGATTAGTCAACGCAAGTTTATCTCTGTTCACCTTAAAATGGCGAGGAAAGTCACTGTAAGTAAATTCAATTGAGTGTTTTGAAGTTGTGAGAGTTTGCTCGGTTGTTTGTAGCTTAAAGGCGCGTAATCTTGTGTTTCTCTCGCCGTAAAATTTGAGTCAATTTCAGTCGAGTTTACCTGTCTGATTGTTGCTGTATTTAGGAGAATTTCTGTGGAATACACTAAACGAATTTACTCGTTTTCTGTTAGACAATTTACGGTAGAAAAGTCTAATTTCAAGTGATTTTGATAGCAACGACTGACAGAAATTGTTTTTGTAGTAAAACTTCAAACTTCGCACGAAATTTCATATCGCAAAAACAAGTTTGGAGAACTTAGGGACTGCGCAATAATTACCTGGAAGGGGGG